TTCTTCGTTGGTAGCCTTCATTTATTTGCACTACTTACCGAGACTCTATGCTAGCATACTTAACTCGCAGGTGTATGGAAGACCCAAAATCGTTTAAGGGCTTAGGGCCCCAATGGGTCTTAGTCCGGCTCTGTGCTATGGGTTACTGGGAGTGAAACAGAATGAGAAGACATTATTGAGGAGAAAGGGCAACAAAAGAAGAGGTTTCAGGAAGCCAGGAGATGGTGATCATGTCACTAAGACGCAAGGGGTTACTGGGAGTGAAAGAGAATGAGAAGACTTTAGTGAGGAGAAAGGACAATAAAAGAACAGGTTTCAGGAAGACAAAAAGATGGTGATAATGCCACTTCGACGCAAGGGGTTACTGGGAGTGAAAGAGAATAAGAAGACTTTAGGGAGGAGAAAGGACAATAAAAGAACAGGTTTCAGGAAGACAGAAGATGGCGATAATGCCACTTAGACGCAAGGGGTTACTGGGAGTGAAAGAGAATGAGAAGAATTTAGTGAGGAGAAAGGACAATAAAAGAACAGGTTTCAGGATGACAAAAAGATGGCGATAATGCCACTTAGACACAAGAGGTTACTAGGAGTGAAAGAGAACGAGAAGACTTTAATGAGAAGAAAGGTCAATAAAAGAAAAGTTTTCGGGAAGCCAGGAGATGGCGATCATGTCACTAAGACGCAACGTGTTACTGGGAGTGAAAGAGAATTAGTAGTCTTTAGTGATGAGAAATGACAATAAAATAACAGATTTCTGAAAGACTGAATATAGCGATTGCAGTTACATTTAAATACGTGAAAAATGTATGTGCCAGGGATGTAATAAAAAGTAACTTTTATATTAGAACCTTATAAACGCTACAATCTCTACATCTAGCCAGTTCAAAAGTAAAGCCATAATACTTCGTTAGCAATCTAGTAATGCATTTAAATCCACGCAATCGAGGTTCATTAGCCTCTACTTAAAGTTGTAGCTAAATTATTGATAGATTTATAAATGTACAGATTTATAAATGTATATGTTGGATTCTGACAACAAATATTGTCTGTCACGACACAGTGAACCATCTTTGGTTTGGTTCGTTTTACGGCATAACAACTTCAATGGGTTATTTAATGCCGACAAGTTTATTATTGCTAGTAATAATTTTTTTTTGCAACAAGTATATTTGGTAATATTTTTTTCACTAAAATATATTGCTGGTAACATTTTTTTCCTAAAATATATTTCTGGTAATATTTTTCTTCAAATAATTTTTTGCTGGTAATAATTTTTCTTTACTGGTATTAAAACCTATTTTTACACTGTTTGGGCCCGAGGTGAAGGTTGACTTGGGAACCCCAGTAATTAAACTGAGCTTTCATGCTCCTCAAAACCTCATGATCAGAGGTCTTGCTGGCTGTTGGCCGTATTTTATCGTCTTACCCAAGACGCGGATGTAGTTTATCGTCATACACAGGACATGAAACCGATTCTATCAACAGCAGACCGTGCATATGACCCAACATAATCACTCCAATCCAAATCAAATGATTAAATGAACACAATTCTGTCTTGGAGGCGTTAAAATTTCCAAGACCTTCTTTGTTCCAGTTAACCAAAGATTGGAGGTTATTTTCGAGAAAAGTGATAATTTTGCTTTGTTGGCTCTGACAGGTTTTCTAGTAAGATTCATTCATATATATATATATATATATAACACTTTTAGCTACATGAAGAGTCGGTCACCATCTATTTGTTTCTAATATCGTGAGTCGTTGAATGCTGTTGACTTTGTTACCATACGATGCATAAAAAAGATAATACCAATTTGATGATATGGCAAAAGCGATTATCGTGTTATTGAGCGCGTTGAATAACAAGAAAACGAAAAGGAAGAATGAGAAAGAGAAAACAAATGTCAAATTTATATAAAGGAAAACAATTAAAACAAAGAAAGAAAAAAGAAATATACAGTGTAACCCGGATATTAAGAGACCCGGATATAAGAGAAACCCGGATATAAGAGAGATTGTCTCTGGTCCCAAATTAGAGCCTGTGTTAATGTATATAAAATAGACAAAACCCGGATATAAGAGAAAACCCGGATATAAGAGAGATTAAGAGAGATTGTCCTGGTCCCAAATTAGAGCCTGTGTTAATGTATATAAAATAGACCAAACCCGGATATAAGAGAAACCCGGATATAAGAGAGATTGTCTCTGGTCCCAAATTAGAGCCTGTGTTAATGTATATAAAATAGACCAAACCCGGATATAAGAGAAACCCGGATATAAGAGAGATTGTCTCTGGTCCCAAATTAGAGCCTGTGTTAATGTATATAAAATAGACCAAACCCGGATATAAGATATACTCCGGATATAAGATATAAGAGATTGTCTCTGGTCCCAAATTAGAGCCTGTTTTAATGTATATAAAATAGACCAAACCTGGATATAAGAGAAACCCGGATATAAGAGAGATTGTCTCTGGTCCCAAATTAGAGCCTGTGTTAATGTATATAAAATAGACAAAACCCGGATATAAGAGAAACCTGTTTTAATATAAAATAGAGATATGTCCCTATAAGGTCCCAAATTAGAGCCTGTGTTAATGTATATAAAATAGACCAAACCTGGATATAAGAGAAACCTGGTCCCAAATTAGAGCCTGTGTTAATGATAAAATAGAGAGAGATTTTTTCTCTGGTCCCAAATTAGAGCCTGTGTTAATGTATATAAAATAGACCAAACCCGGATATAAGAGAAACCCGGATATAAGAGAAACCCGGATATAAGAGACTTCGTCTCCGGTCCCGACAACTCTCTTACATCCGGGTTACACTGCATTTGCAAAGAGACACATACACACGTATATATATATATATATATATATATATATATATATATATATATATATATATATATATATATATATATATATACATATACTAGTACCTGCGCGCTTACACATCATGTATACATTGGATGACTATTTATCAGCTTGCCCGTGTAAGCACACCAGCACGCACGTATACGCTTGCTTATATCTGATCGTTTGTTTGATCTATTCCTATATACATACATATATACATATATATATATATATATATTTGTGTGTGTGTATTATATGTGTGTATATATATATATATATATATATATATATATATATATATATATATATATATATATATATATATATATATATATATATATATATATATATATAGATAGATAGATAGATAGCGAGACTCTTCGCAGATGCGAATTGAGTCACTGTCGGTCACTGGGCGTGTTTGTAAAAATAAATAAGCTAAAAAATTCACTTTCATCGACGGCTTAATGGTTAGAATCTCCGACTGACACCAATTCAGTCGGGTTTCGATCCTGGCTAGAGGCAACCGGATATCTAGCCACACTGATGAGCTGCGAAACAGTCTGTCTGTGGATGACGTTAGATATATATATATATATATATATTTGTGTGTGTGTTTATGCAAAATGTGTATATATATATATATATATATATATATATAGTATAAAATGTCAATTGTAAAAAATTCTTAGATTTAGCAGACGCATTTCGTCTTCCGACTTTTTCAAGGCAAAAAGGAACTAGAAATGATTTTGTTGTTATAGTTACATTAACAAATCCAAAATTAAAAAGATATACCAATTTGTATTGTCCACAGAATTGATCTGGATATTTATTTCTCTATATATATGCAATCATTTATATATATTGTCTATATATTATATATGCGCGGTACTTATTGGAAAACGCTCAGTATCTATGATAGAGCTAAAAATACAACTAAATACACACACGCACACACACATATATATATATATATAACAAATCAACTAAATATATATATATATATATATATATATATATATATATATAACAATCCAACTAAATAAATATATATATATATATATATATAACAACCCAACTAAATATATATATATACATATATATATATATATATATATTATAATATTTTTATTATAATAGATTATAAGAAAAATATTTTGCATTACTATAGAAATTATTTCCTATTTTAATACTAAGATTTTATTTATTCAGTTATCTACGATCGTCTGAAGTACAATCATAGGATTGAAACATGAAAGCTTTTGTGTAGCGATGTAAAATGTTTTTATTATGATCGATTATAAAAAAAATATTATAATAATATTTTGCTCAACCTTTGTATTAGGCATTTTTGAAAAAAATGGGAATGCTACGAACTCTTGATGTTTTTTCCTCTGTTCTTTTTCATATTTGTTTATATATATATATATATATATATATATATATATATATATATATATATATATATATATATATTCTCATGTGTCTGAAATAGGGATGTAATTTTATCCACGTCGAAGAGGCAGAAAATCACTACGAGTTTTACTGGTCATCGATAATAACTATTACTAATGTAGCATGAATATTTTTAGTAATAAGCTCAACCAATTTCAACAGACAGTCGCCATAATGAACCGCGAACGGTCGTCAGAAGGCAGATTTGATTAACTTCGCAACATTTTGCTGTATATAAAAACACGTTACATTCATGAATGTCACCGGCTGGATTTTATCGATCCTGGCTTAAATGAATTAATCTTCGGTAGGGTTATTTATTTGTGTTTTTATCTTGGCTCCATTTTCCAGGGATGTCCGTTGCCTTTCTTAAATGCCTGATTGAAAATAATTGGTAGCGAAAGGTTATCGATATCAGTTCGATCATTAGGTTAGTTAGCTGTTATTGCGCCAAAATTTTGCCGCAAATTTTTCTATGCCATAACCGCTGTAACAATATTGATCCGCATTTCTTCAGATATTTGTCTCCATTCGGAAATCTCAGCTTTCGCCCTCACCCTGTTCAGATCTATTGATCTACGTATCGAATGTCAGTTCCAATATATTAAGTGGTATTTACTTCAAGATGTGAGGTTTATCAATGTTTAGACTTGGTCAATGTGTGCATAAACTTCACAGGGAATTTCGGATGAGTATCACGCTCTCTCTCTCTCTCTCTCTCTCTCTCTCTCTCTATCTATCTATCTATCTATCTATCGTAGCCTGTTTATATCTATCAATCTGCCTATCTTTGTTTATATCTATCAATCGATCGTTGGTTAATAAAATGTATCTATGTATCTATCTATCTTAGTAAGTTTATATCTATCTATCTATCTATCTATCTATCTATCTATCTATCTATGTTTGTAACAATCTATGTATCGTAATTTATATCTATGTATCTATCTATCAATCTATCTACCTAAGTCTGTTCATATCTATCTATCTATCTATCTATCTATTTATCTATCAATCGTAGTCTGTTTATATCTATCAACCTGCCTATCTTTGTTTATATCTATCAATCGATCTATATATCGTTGGTTGCTAAAATCTATCTATCTATCTATCTATCTATCTATCTATCTATCTATCTATCTATCTGTCTGTATATATATATATATATATATATATATATATTAGTCTGATTTTGTTTCTGTCTATCTAACGTAGTATGTCTTTATCTATCTATCTTAGTCTGTTTATATCTATCTATCTATGTTTATACCAATCTATGTATCGTAATTTACATTTATGTATCTATGTATCTATCTATCAATCTATCTACCTAAGCCTGTTCGTATCTATCTATCTTTCTATCTATCTGTATCTACCTCTCTTTCTGTATATATATATATATATATATATATATATATATATATATATATATATATATATATATATATATTAGTCTGATTCTTTTTTCTGTCTATCTAACGTAGTCTCTATCTATCTATCTATCTATCTATCTATCTATCTATCTATCTATCTATCTATCTATCTATCTACAATGACACACGCACACGCAGAGACATACATTTTATGGATTTTATTTTTAATCCAACTGGCTAAATCAAAAGCACTAACCCCAACCCCGATTTCTGAAGACAATATTCCTGAATATATATATATATATATATATATATATATATATTCATGTTGATCAGAATTTCATTTCCCTTGTAGCACTTAGTAAATTTTCTCTTATCATTATCACTATTTATCTTGTTACAACTATTGTCCGTATCTTTCTTTTCATATCCACGGCGTTTCGGCCATTTTATGCTCTGCCCTTCTTCAGGATCTGTCTATATTTCTGATATGAGATATTTTTTACTGTTTAACATATTTACGTTCTTCCGACTGTTGTCCTCATCATTATTGTCATAGTCACAATGTTTCGGCCGTTGAACGCTCAATTGTTCTACGGTGGAATATAGTCTATTTAGAAGTCTTTGTTTAGTTAACGGGGTAGATGGTTCTAATTTGACATACCATACCAGTGGAAAATTTACTTAGGTGGTGAATATGTTGTTGCATGTTTGAGGGAATGGCGAAGTTCTCACTGTTACTCTAGAGAAAAATCTTCAGTCAGCCAAGAAATCGAGCATTGACAAAGTAAGAATTGAAAGAGCACATGCAAATTAGGGGCCAGAATGGAAGATAGAATTTTTAAGCTATTGAATGAAATGCTCGAAGGCGATCATGGTCCTCCACTATATCTTTCTACCTCTTAATACGTTTTATCTATTTGTTATTTCTCTCATACCATTTTTTACCATCCATTTGCTCAAGTACATCAAATATGGTAGACGCAACCTTCCTCTTTCTTTTGTACTATCTACCATTTCTTGCCTGGTGCTCTTTTCCTGAGGCCTTGCTCCAGACTATGCCAAAGATAGCTAGGTAGGAATAATGGTTAGAGATGATAATATGATTAAGCATTTCTGATTTGTGTAGTGAATACATTTTTTACTAAGTCCTTGTTTTTTATAACGCATTGTGCGAGACTTTACTGAAGATCTCTCACCGTGGGTCACGATGGTTAGAGAAGATGATCTTCTTCATTTATGAGCTCTGCCCCTCACGGCATAGAGGATCATGGCCCTCGCCATCTTCCTATCGGTTGTCGCTCTTATTAAGTTTTGTATTTCTGCTATTTCTCCTAAACGCTGTTCTGCGTCCTGGGTATGATGATAAACTACATCCAGCAGCAAGTCCTCTGATCAGGAAGTTTTGAGGAGTGTTGAACCACCTCTTAATTGCTGGTGTTCCCAGGTCCAACCTGACCGGGGTGGTAGCACTTCTTAGGGTCCCATCTACGGGCAAATAGTTAACGCCCAAACTTGCGTAAAAGTAGCTTTTAGTACCAGAAATACTTTGTAATAAAAAAAAATATTACTAGCATTTATTTTTTAGGCAAAAATTATTATCAGCAATACTTCAAAAAAATATCAACAATGCAAACAGCTATACATTTTTTGGAAAAGAAATATGACCAGCTATAGATTTCTTCAAGAAAAATATTCCCAGAAATAGATTTTTGAAGAAAAGCATTACCAGCCATAAAAATGTTGTCGACGTTAAATAACCCATTGAGGTTGATATGCCGTAAAACATATAAAAAAAAACCAATTTCCTTTTTGTATTTGAGTTTCGTTTAGTTGAATAAATCTTAGCGCTTTTACTGGTGTCCTCAGTTGTGTTTACTCTTACAATTATTTCAAGGTAAAACGTAGATAAAATCTAGCAGGGAAATAGCATGGTAGCCAAAATGTTTGGATGTCGAGGCTTTTTAACCAACAGCTGCCAGAGTCTGCTGCCACTGACAGACTATCCTACTCAACAATATTTGAATATATCGAAGGATGTACAGACGCGTCTATAACCCATTGAGGTTGATATGCCTTAAAACAAAATAGACCAAACCAATCTAAACCAAAGAATACATATTCTATTCATACGAATCTATCCTAAAAATGTTGTCGGCATTAAATAACCCATTGAGGTCGATATGCCGTAAAACAAAGTAAACCAAACCAATCTAAACCAAAGAATATATATTCTATTCATACGATCAATTTACTCAAGTATTTTACGCGCTTCTTTCGTCAGTTCGTTTGCCTATAAAAAGAACAGTTTTCACGCTTCAATGAGCGTTCGAACATGAAATTCCGACATAAAAGATAGACAATTCCATAATGGATGAATTGTAACTTTCTAATGAAGGCTAAACATAACTATCAACTGTAGCATTTAAACGTAAAAGAAAAAAAATCAGTACTTGATAGTTACACATACTTCCTCCATTACTAGTTGACCCCTACTTGGGAAATAAAAAAGATTTTCACTGTTACGGTACATTTCTGGTTTATTTATTTGTAATAAACGGAAACATATAAATGAATATGAAAGGATTATGATCAAAATAAGCAGGCGGAATCTTTGTAATTTATTCAGTCAGATATACTTAAAGAGTAGATACATATATACATACATATTTATGAACAGTCTGAGATAGATAGATACATAGATATATAAATACAAAGCTATGCACAGACTTAGACAGACAGATAGACGGGTTTGCTTAAAGACCAACTAAAATATTTGCCTATTATTTTCATGATCTGTTTTTTATCCTTTCGTTTCTAACGTGTTTTTAATATCATCTTCGAGGCAGTACAGATATTATCTAAATTCTGGCCGCTTTCGGCTTTTGAAAGCAAAGAAAGATAATATTTGTTTTGTTAAAAATTCTTTTAGAGTTTAAAATTGGTATCATGCATCATGTTACATATTAGTTTTTATGTCTAACAATATCAGGAGTCTGTATTGCGTGTCGCCCGTCATTTCGATCAATTTGTCTGATTTTTTTTTAATTTTAAATATATTTAATATGCTTGTTCCTAAACTGAATGAAATTTTATTAATACTCGGGTGTTTGTTTTTAATATTAAGGCTTCGTATATTTGTAGTCGTTTTTTTTTTTTTTTCATTTTATATATAATATTTTTGCATTAACTGTAAGTATTTATCGAATTTCTTCTTGAGTTTTTGTTTTGCGTTGGTTGGTCACGTGAGATTTAATCGTGTTATTATCAGATAAATTGCACATCTCCGACTGAGTGAATGAAAAATGAAAACAATTCGAAATATGAAATAAATTCGAACACATACTTGCGTAGCAAGGCTCTCCAATAATCCGTTAAAAATTTTTTCTTAGAATTGAGAGATGAAGTTAAGTTTTCTTTATGGGCATAAAGAAATTGTCTAAGTGAGTGTTTGTTCCGAGCGTTTATGGCTTATCCATCAGCCATTATTGGGTATTTTTCATTGCTCCCATTCTCTCAGTACTAAGCATGAGAACATGGTGTCTTATTCATTCTAAAGCCAGTCATCATTGACGTAACAAGTCTTGTCCTTGTGCCAGGTAACATATTTCCGCCATATTTTTATATAGTACAAACCCGAGAGAATATTATTCGACATTCATAGTTTTATTCATTTATACCAGATAGATTATGAGTCTAAGTCATTAAATACTGTTATTTACATTGATGGGTGTGTTTACCATCCGGACGAGTGGTATTGTTCCTGAATTTTTTTATTTATTTATATATTTCTTTTCTTATTTCCATAATTTTCGATAGCGGCTTGTTGTTTTGTAGTCTTCACATTTAGACGTTACTGCTGATTATAAAACTATGATAGATGAAGTCTTTTAAGGCTCGCTTGACTTTCTATGTCATAACGAATCTAGCAGAAACGAATTGTGGCCCATTCGATCTCAAAATGATACTTCGACGTAGTGTAATTGTTGGTAAGTTTGTCTCGCTAGATCAGTTACGACTGAGTAGTGAGTTCGATCCTCACTGGGTACTCCTTACTTTCGGTTTTGTGCCACATCTAAGCTGCGCTTAGAAAAAAACATTTCATGGAACTTCCCCGTGGTGTAATGATCAGAAAACCTGTCTCGCTAGATCAATTACGACTGAATAGTGAGTTCGATCCTCACTAGGTGCCCTACACTTTCAGCCTTGTGCCACATCTATGCAACACCTAGAAAATCACTGGGCCAATTCGACGTGGCGTAAGGATTTACAAGCTTGTCTCATTAGACCAATTACGACTGAGTAATGATTTCGATCTTCTCTGGGCGCCCCATACATTCAGCCTTGCGCCACATCTAAGCTACACTTAGGAAACCATTTGGGAACTTCAACGTGATGTAATGGTTAGTTCTATTACGACAGAATAGTGAGGTCGATCCTCACTGGGTGTACAACGCTTTCGATCTTGTACCCCCATCTATGCTACACCTAGAAAATCATTTGGGCAATTCGACATGACGTAATGATGTACAAGACTGTCTCATTAGATAAATTGAGACTGAGTAATGAGTTCGAGCCTATCTGGGTGCCCCATAATTTCGGCCTTGTGCCACATATAAGCTAAACTTAAGAAAACCGTTTGGGTACTTCGACGTGATGCAATGGTTAGCAAACTTGTCTCGCTAGATCAATTACGACTGAATAGTGGGTTCAATCATGACTGGGTACCCCATACTTTCGGCCTTGTGCCACATCTAAGCTACGTTTAGTAAATTACCATTAAATCATCGAAGGATTTAACAACATGATACACTTTTTACTGTTTCCTCGATCAAAGACGCTGAACTTTTTTTTAATCATCACAGCTCAAGTAAGATGATAGTGCCGCTAAGGTGCAAGGGGGTTACTAGAAATGGGAGAGAATAAAAGACCTTTGCGAGGATAAGGGTTAAAAAAAAAAGAAGACGGAAAATGGCGATTGACTCTGCATTTAAATTTTGGAAACGTGGAGGTGTTAGGGCAGCAAAAAACTGAAATAGAGTTCCTGACGCGAGAAGTGTTTGAAAAGTAATTATTAGAAGAATGGTGAACGTCTGAGTCTCTTACAAAACAATCTGAAGTCTCAGGAGACAATTCCATGAATATAGACAGCAAGGTCACGCATATGGACATTAGAATCTTCGCGATACAGATGAAGAAAGCCAGGAAAACAGAATTCACTGATAGAGATTGAAGTGTTTAGGTTAGTCTCGCAGACAGCTAGAAGGCCAGGAAAAAGCTCAAAGAAAATATTCTACACTCCAGAAATTGGTACGGGTACGACTAATGAAGAAAAAATGCTGAGGTGGTTGTTGCCAACTGGTTTAGTTTTATTTCTTTTATCCGTTGTATACATTCGGTTGGGCTAGGTCGGATATTCATGGATCCATCACGTCAGTCATCAAAATCCTGTATCAATGACAAAGGACCATCAGAGTGGCTTCATATGTGTTGTGGATTCCAAGATGAAATTCGGTCTCCAATGAATGACAAACGCAAGAAATAAAGATAAGAAATTAAATGTCTTTACACAATAATACAATGAGTATATTGTTAGTAAATCCAGGAACGCGGTTAGTCTCAATAATATATATATATATCTCAGGTGGATTTACGAATGACAAGATTAACATTATTACAAAGATGAACTTCTGAAGAATACGCAGAAACGGATAATCTAATAATACACTTTGGAGAAGAATGTATAGCTCCGGCCTTCTTCAGGTGGTTGGAATGTCGAACTGATTTCTTTATTTCGCTCACTGTGTTAGACTGTTCTAGTTCCGCGTGTCATATATATATATATATATATGAAAAGTGTATAGAGTTTGTCTGACGATCGCCAAAGCGTGAAACCCAGGGTCCCAAACTCACATCTATCCAACCAAATATATATATATATATATATATATATATATATATATATATATATATATATATATATATATAGTCTCGAAGTAGGACTTCCTTAGAGTCTACGTGCTTGTAACTGACTTCGACAAGCGGTTACCTCACACTATTACTCTACCTCCAACTCCATCACAATCTCTGCTCACTCTCTGTCTCTCAATCTCTCTATATTCTGACTGACTGTGGGTATTTAACGGCAGCAGTCCCAGTAACACACTGGTCGAGTCCACTTATATGAAAAAGGGGTTGACCCCATAACAATGTGTCGTTGCAAAGTTGGTCAATCTAGGAGGCTGAGAGTGACCTACCCGTCTTTGCTAGGTGTCCAGAGTAATAGATAACTCGCAAGTTCTTGATTTGCGCACCAGGAGTGTCCCCCAAGGCTCAATCTGTATTTATGTAAAATTGTTAAAATATCATGGATGGATCCATAGCGCTGTGCGATGTAATCTCCAAGAGATCTTAAGTATAGCTCTCAGTGTAGGTTCCATGAAGCTTAGACTCTATAGTTTAATATTGTTGAAATATCAGCGATGGGTCCATAGAGCTGTGATTTAGTTGGATGTTTTCCCCAAGAGATGTTAAATCTAGCGCTCACCACCAGAATATAGTTTCCATCAAACTTAGACTCTAGGGCTTAAGATTGTAGAAATATCAGAGATGGGTCCATAGAGCTGTGATGTAATTGGATGTTGTCTCCAAGAGATGTTAAATTTAGCTCTCACCATCCGAGTGTATGATTCATCAAGCTTAAACTCACGGTCCTGCATCCAAGTCGGAAGGACATCGGGGTGGCATCCTATGTCGTTACAAAAGTGGTCAATACACCGTCATTCACCATCGCTAGGGGTCCAGAGCAATAGATCACTCGTAAGTTCTTGTTTTGCTCACCGG